CATGCGCCAGTGACTACTGGAAAGACACCAGTTATAGTATACTCCTGTTCAAGAAAAGAGGCCAAGTTCACTACTCCAGTTTTCTGGGCATCGCGTTATTGCTCCTCCCGGGAACAGTCTGCGCCAATTTGTTGAGTAGGTTGTGCCGCGGAGTAGTTGTATTCTAGGATCAGGGAAGTTAACATTGAAGCATCGGTGGTAAGATTTTCACGTTACCCCAGACTGTTCAGAAATCATCGAAGTTCGTTCATCTGGTTTAGATGTCGCTGTTTGGTCTGGAGAAAGTCGAAGACCGAATTCCGTACAAGTTGTTAGGCATTCTGTAAACATATGAGATCGATGGCTAGTTGCTACGGGCCTTCCAGTCACTATATGCTGATTGCGTGTGCTGCTTCGAAGTAAATGAATTTAGAGACTTTTCAACGTTGGCACTTGGCTTTGTCAAGGATGCGTTCTGTCCCCTCTCCATTTTTTTGACATCCTCTGAAACTGATCTCTAGCGCTCTCTGGCGATGTTAGCAGCCGAATGTGACGAAAACGGCATGCGTTGCGTGTGGACGTATTTAAAACGTAAAACCTAGTGCTTTCTCGGTCTCCTGTCGACTACGATGTGCATATAATCGAATAGACGTCGAGCAGCTGATGAAATTCGCGTACCTTGGGAGCTAGGTTAGTGGTGATCAGAAACTGGAAGCTGAAATCGACCGACCGGTTGTAATGGCCATTGGCATTTTGATTGAACTACTCTGAACTGTTGTGACTTAAGTACTGCCGAGACTGACGACTAAGCCGTCTGTGTTCAAGTAATCTTCCTTCCGATGCCACCTCCATTCACGAGTCGTTGGTGGTGACTTAAAATCTTTGATCACGGTTAGAAGCGGCTGAAATAGGCTTTCCCTGACTAATCGCTGAGCACACATTTCTCGACATGGTGCTGAGTTCAGATATCCTGACAGACTTGTGATACAACCGCTACAGGTTGATAAGTCATGATTGCGATAACAGGTTTGCAATGAATAATATGGGACGTGTCTCCAGTCTCGACATTCGCGATGCCACCTCCGTTTATGAGTCGTTGGTGATGACTTAAAATATTTGATCACTGTCATAAGCGGCTGAAATAGGCTTTCCGAGACGAATCGCTGGGCTGACACTTCTCGACATGGTGCTGAGTTCAGATATCCTGACAGACTTGTATTGCAACCGCTGTAGGTTGATAAGTCATGATTGCGAAGAATAATGTGGGGCAAGTGACTCCTGTCTCGACATTCAGGTTACCTACTGCCGAATCTCAGAAACTGGCACAGGACCGGTAACGTTGGGGGACACTGTCTAACGATTCTTACTTCGTGACCTGTAAGGATTAGCTGTGATCAAAACTGTCATGCTGACTGATATCTGCTGTCAATGGTGTGTTGAAATGGAATTTGTTTGAGAACGTTGATTTTTTCGCACTACGTTGCATCCTAGTTTTTTTTCCTGTCAGGATTTTTTTGTGTCGAGCCATAATATCTTCTATGCAAGTGAATTTCAGTTATTCGTTTTTCACGTTTAGAATGTACTGGCCTTTGCTGCTCGAAAGCGAAATCAACTTGTTCACTCAGAAAGGAACTTATGACGAACCCGAAGAAGTCGCCGACACTTTTAACTTTGACGCTACCTTTAGCAAGTTAACTTACGCCGCGCCAGAAAATCATGATCCAACTCATGTCAACAATGCTGAAGGCTTTATAGTTTCTGCGTTACAAACGTTTCATGCTTCAAACCCCGGGTTTTTGTCATCTGTGGTATCTAATCTACAGGGAGATAAAAAAGCTAATCTGTCGCAGCTGTTGAATAATATCGGTATTAAGGTGCTGTAGAGCGTGATGTATCTGCTGGAAATAGTTGTTCATTAAATGCGGATATTGCTTGTGATCTGTTTCTTTTATAGCTGAAATCTGTGAATGCAAGTCAATGCATGGCATTTTTGTTCATGTATGATGCACCAGCTATTATATCTTGTCACCTACTGGATTAATCGTCAATTGGAATTCATCATCAGCCTTTTTTGATCCAGTGCTAGATGAGAGTCTCCAAGACTTTTCCATAAACTTTTGTTTTCTGAAATTTTTATCAACCTTGATCCCACGAACTTCTGCTCATGCTGCCATCGATCTGGAGATATTATTCGTAGTGGTTTACTTTCTTTTGGAACTTAGACAGTGCCTCTCTCGTTCTGCGATGGTCGGTTCTTCTTGCAGCGTCCGCTGTTTTCATTCGCGCAGTAAGATCACAGACTCCGGTTTGTGCTCTTGATAATTCGTTCTTTCTATTTTTACTTTGTGTTGCCGACATGAGCATCTGTACATGCGGCGCTGCACTGTCTGCAGTGTAAGAATAGCTTTCTGGCGTAAGCCTCACACTTCGCGTTCATAGATTGACTCCGAGATCACACTGATTGAAGACTATCCATTTCAAGCACAAAGGCAGTTTCTCTGAAGCAAACACTTTCAGTCTCTCAAAACTGCAACCTGATATTT